CTCTCCCTTCCTCTCTGAAATCAATTATATATATATATATATATATATATACATAATTTTTATAAAGGTCATTGTGATGCTGGACAAATTGCAGTAGCAATGTATGTTTTATAAATACCAAGAGAACGAGGCATTCATTTGGACTCAATGTATGAAAAATCATCGAGATAAATCTACGTCTCCCACTCACTGTCATTACAATGGCACACAGAAAGTCAGCAAAGACCACAGAGGCAGAACCAGGGGGGACCTTGACCTTTACTCCTAACTTGATTTACACAGGAAAGAACTGAGCCTTGCTCGCCCAGTTAGTGGAGGACCAGAGGCCAAACGCCTATGTGAAATAGACGCCTGGAGAGCAGAAAAGTGGGAGTTATAATAGACTCTCTGCTTGCCTTGCCATGACTGCACCCCCACACTGGAGGGTTTAGAATCCAACCAGAAAGTCCTAGGCTCTAAATTGGCCTAGAAGTAAAGTTGGGGAGAATTATGCAGCCCTGGGAATACAAGGGAGGGAAGTCAGATTTATCTTTGTTCTCCAGAGAGCCTAGGATCATTTTCAACCAGAATCTATAAGCTATAATAAATAAATAAATAAATAAATAAATAAATAAATAAATAAAGGCAGCTGTGGCTACCCAGCCAGATGAGGCTGGAACCAGAATGGACTTGGGAGCTTGAGGCGGTCATGTGGTGACAGAGACTCTCCATCCACCTCTGTCTGAATGACCAGGCTGCTCCGTCCTGTGCAGGGCCTGTCACCATCCCAAGCGCGGGCACCTCGCCCTCCCCGGCTGCTCCAATTCAAAGGGCTCTGGTGGCTGAGCTTGAATTTGAAAACTTGGACGTGGCCCAGACACATCACCAAAATAGCTCTTGCAAAAGGAAAAAGTCAACACTGCGGTGGCCTGGTCTCAAAAGCAGAAAAATGTTCTCAGTCCCAGTAAGACAGAGCCTGTTTGGGAGCTGCTAAATCCCTCGCTTTAGGTGTATTTTTAATCACACTCTACTCTTTGGACACATCTGTTTTATAGGGGATCCCTGGGTTTATTAACCAACATCCAAGAAAGAGTGGCACCTCCAGCTCAAATCTAGAGCAGAGAGATAGGAACATGGAGTCGCTCCAATCCACATTCAACTTCACTGGGTTAGACTGCTGCATCTAGACAGCCTAGGAAGTCCCTTCTGGCTCTAAAACTTGGTCTCTGTGACACCATCCATCGAAGTGCCAGGTTAAGGGCCCGGTATCCTTTCAGAGACTGCTCAGAGTCCAGATCTACATCAGAGAAGGCAGACTGCGCTATGGAGGTTAACTATGGATTGAGGTACACATGTACCTCCTCATTTAAGACAGTAAGGCACTAAGCTGAAAGCATCTGGGAGGATTACTTTTAAAAATCAAAACATAGCCCTAGCTGGTTTGGCTCAGTGGATAGACTGTCAGCTTGTGGACGGAAGGGTCCTGGATTCGATTTCGGTCAAGGGTACATGCCTGGGATGTGGGCTTAATCCCCAGTGGGGGTCATGCAGGAGAAAGCCAATAAATGATTCTCTCTCTCTCCCTTCCTCTCTGAAATCAATTAAAAAAAACACAATCAAACTATAAGGTATTAGAGAAAACCTTTTGGTGTTAATACAAAGATCTACTTCCTAGAAAAACTAGAGTCATTAGCTGGTTATTTCGAAGTTGCCTTGTTGTTCTTCTTTAAAAAGATATGCATATTAACCAATGTCACCCCAATAAATTAAATTTAAAAATAAAATAAAAAGAGATACAAATTTTTCCTGGAGGCTCTCTCCCAGCACCACCAACGATAATTTATCACTTAGTATGAAAAATGCATGAGAAGGATGACAACTAGCAACCCTGGGCTTTTTTGGGGGGAAAGCAATCAGCAAATCCCATCCATATTGTCTCTTGTCTGAGGAAGAGAACACGAACCCCAACCTGTTCACATATCTACCCCAGACTTCAGTAACAGGCACCACTGAGGTCATGTGGAAGAGATGTCACACTCCAGAAGCGTGGGCATCACATCCAGATGCCACCTCTTGGTGCTTCTCATGACAGAAATGTGCCTCCTACCAACAGTGGAGGGGAGGAGGGTTACTTTCAAACCTCTATGCACGATAAAAACTCACCCATCATCCCCCGAAGTATGTACACTTTGACATTTTCATAGTCCTGGAGAAGGGTTTACATAAATCATACACAGCGTCCCTTGCCCTGGCTCCTCTCAGACCAGAGCAAACCTGGCTGGCCTTCATCACACTGAGGCTGCAGCCTCCCATGGACTTGGTCCGACACAGACCCCTTCAATACTCCAGGCGGCCAGACAAAGGAAATGACAGCCTGCACCCAGTGTGCGAGGGAAACAGGAAGAAGAACCGTCCAAATCAAACAGCATAAGTGCACATTTTCTCAAGGCAGCTCGCCCAGTTTCTCTTCCAGTGTCCTAGGTTATTGCTGTTGCTGTTATTGTTTTTGCTTTGCTGCTTACATTTTAGGTGCAAGTGTGTAATAGACAAGAGCCTTAAAAATAGAGATCTCCATCAAACCACACTAGGGACTACAATAGATTAATGGTCAGCAAACACATTAATCAACAGAGCCAAATATCAACAGTACAACGATTGAAATTTCTTTTGAGAGCCAAATTTTGTAAACTTAAACTTCTTCTAGCGCTACTTCTTCACAATAGACTCGCCCAAGCCGTGGTATTCTGTGGAAGAGCCATGCTAAAGGGGCCAAAAATCCACATGTGGCTCAAGAGCCGCAGTTTGCCGACCACGGCAATAGGTGACCCACAACGGTGTTTCAGCAAAGATTCATATAAAAAATTCATTTGCAATTGGCAGGGCTCTAAGGAACTCACAGCTGTGCTTTGAGTTAATGAAAGGAAGTCTGGCCTGGCAGAATTAAGACCTCTGGAGACCCTAAGAAAGGAAGAGATAAATTCCCTAATAGGTACCTATTGTTATAGGGTTTTAGGTGTGCAGAATGTGAAGGTGCTGATGTCTAGATATTTTAACTGGCAAAATTCTAGATAAAGTTATCAGAGCAGAGCTTTTCTCACTTCTCAGTGCCTCTGTGTTACTGCACATGGGCTGCAACTGCTGGTGTTGGGTGGTCAGTGTGGCCCTTTGCCTCCCAAGTGTGAGATTAAGATTCATAACTTGGTGAAACTACAAAAGACTAGGAACGTTTAATAAACTTCTCCAAAGAGAGGATATTCATGTGTTTTGTAATAACTTAAAGACCTTTTGATCGATGTTTCTCTCTCGCCTTCTCCCTTCCATTCTCTCTAAAAAAAAAAAATCAATTTTAAAAATATTTTTAAAAATTATCTTTAAGGCCTTTAGGTTGTGTTTATTCAGGCCTCACAGCTACATTCTGAAAGACTGAACCCTGATCAGCTAGAGTGTCATTTTATGTAAAGGAGGCTCTTTTTACATTGTTTTTGGTTTTGAGTAATACCAGGATTTATAGTCCAATTTTCTGCTTCTAGTAAAGCAAGTGTGTCTTAATCCCTGCTTTGACACACACACAAAAAAGAAAGGAAGGAAGGAAGGAAGGAAGGAAGGAAGGAAGGAAGGAAGGAAGGAAGGAAGGAAGGAAGGAAGGAAGGAGAAACTGCCCTAATTTCAAGGCCATGGTTAGTGGACTTCAGGATTGCTTTGTGAAGACAACAGGACATTGGCCACAAAACCTTATGAAGAACAATCGAGAAGGTTCATTTTCTCATGGGTGAGATGCTTCCCTAGTCAAGGCCTCACCTAGTCAAGGCAAACCTCCTTCTGGCAAGCATGCAATACTGGCCCACGCAGGACAACAGACACAGCCAGTGATCTTCTTCTGCGAGTGGGCCTTGTCTTATTATAGGTTTCATCTTACAGTAGAGCTTTAAAAATTCCTCACCCTATGGTAAAGTTTGTCTCTGTGCTCATCTACAAATACCTTCATAAAGCACATACTTATTTTGTGCCGACTAAGTGTCATGAGCTGACCCAGGCACAGGGAGACATCAAGGCACAGAAGGGACAGGTTCCGGCTCTCACAGACCTGATGTTGTAGTTCAGAGGAAACTCATATAACCCACATCAACGGAGAACTGGCCACATCTCACCAGAGAGGACGTTTTCTTTCATTGCTCCTCTTATTCAAAGAGGCCACTTGGTAAGAAAATGAAAACCATTTCTATTACACGAAAACCTTCCACAATTTCAATGTCATAAAACATACAGCAAAGTGTGTCTTCCTCCTTTTTCTATAGAAAATGGACATATTTCTTAGCAGATAGCAAGGATGAATATTTCGAAGCATGAATAAATAATGAGGAGACATGCTCTCCTACACATGGATTTCCATATGGTAGATTCTTCCTACTCTGAAAACTGCGTAACAGTTCTGCCCCATTGTATAAAAATGTGTTGGTTGCCGAAACCGGTTTGGCTCCGTGGTAGAGCGTCGGTCTGCAGACTGAAAGGTCCCGGGTTCGATTCCGGTCAAGGGCATGTACCTTGGTTGCAGGCACATCCCCGGTAGGGGGTGTGCAAGAGGCAGCTGGTAGATGTTTCTCTCTTATCGACGTTTCTAGCTCTCTATCTCTCTCCTTTCCTCTCTGTAAAAATAAATAAATAAATAAAATGTGTTGGTTGGCATGACCTAACAGATCAAATGGTCTAAGTCTTAAAAGTAACATTATTCACTAAAAAATGGTCTGTTCAAGCAACAAAAGCTAATGATCTCTCCTAGCTCCAAGTGGCAAGTTATTTTACATGCCGTCTCTTAAATGTTCCAGCTGCATGGAATAACAGCTAATACACTTAGTGAAGACACCACCTTAAATGATTGTAATATTGAGCCTAAGGGTCTAATTGTTTTTTTTGAAGCTGTCCATTTTTTTTTAGCATGTGAATAATTCTAAACCATTTCTGAACCTGTAAGATGATTTCATCTTCCTCAATGAGGAAGTCATGAATAGACTTACAGTCATCTCTAACCTTGTCCTATCATCACACACTGTGTTTTTATTTATCACAGAGCTACATCAACATCTGTCGCCATAAATAACACTTTTCAGGTACAAATTTAATTTTATAGTCAAGGAACAAAATTAACGGATGTAACATATTTATTCTCCCAGCCTCCTGTGGCCTTCTAAGAGGACCGTTATCTAAACACGAGCGTATGGTGCTCTGGGATGCCATACTTCCCTTTGTGCTCCTCAAACAACTTCCTGAGCTCCTCCATGTAGGTCTGATGCAGCTCCTCGACCTGCTCTGGGGTTGGGTTCAGAGTCTGGTGAACAGGGATTGGATGGCCAACTGCAAAAACAGAGGATACATCAGACGTAAGAAACCAAAACCACTCCACTCCAGACCACTGCCTCCATGAACAGCCCTGGAGAGATCTTGCAATCAGAACCCATCATCCCCGCAAGCTCCAAGCCCTCTCTCATTTTACTGGCTGCCGACAGTGGTCACCCCATCCCATTTGACAACAATTAAAGAACTTCCCTTCCCGGCAGACACTGGATGGTCAGTTCCCTGGTGGTTCAGACTTCGAGTCAAGTGAGCCACTGTGCTGCCCGCAGCTGTGAGGGAAGAGGCCACAGGTGCGTGTATGCGTCACCGGCATTCCTCCTCTGGTACAGCGGACGCCAGACCACAGTCCCCTATTGTGAGGGACCGTGAAGTCTTGAATTCTGAGGCATCAGCCCTCTCCTCTGACTCTGTTTAATGTCATCCAAAAAAATTCAGAGAACATATATCTTCGTAGCTAAATATCTATACTAAAAAGCATACATAATCATAAGAAATCCACTGTTAGTAATAATGAGGGGGGGGGAACAACCAAAAGTCTCAATAGAAAAATTATTAAATAAACCATAGAACATTCATTCAATGGAATCCCATCAGTAACTTTTTCAAGTAAAATAATATTTTTGTAACTATGCATGGTGACAAATGTTAACAAGGCTTATTGTGGAGATCATTTTGCATTATACACAAATATCAAGTTAGTACATTGTATTACTAAAATGTCAATTATACTTCAATTTAAAATAATAAAATAATATATGTATGCACACATAGAGATATCTAAAATGTAATAAGTGGGGGGGAGTAAAAAATATATAATCCCATTTATGAAAAAAATTATATTTCTAGGTACATTATAAACGTTTAAAAAACTCTGGAGAGACTGATAACCCAAGGAAGGAAGTTGAAGGAACTTTTCACTTTATCTGTACTGTGTAAATTTTCTACATTTGTGTTTTACCTATGTAATTAAAGACGAGCTAATTAACTTTTTAAAACCTGGAAATTACTATACGTATTTTAAAAGCCATTTATATAATAAATAACTTTTATCTAACCTATCTCAAGCTTTAGAAAATACAGTTACTCATGGCTTTTGCTCTCCTGTGTCTTTTCTGCTAATCACTGCCCCCTCTGCTGGTATGATGCTGCTACTGACGCCAAGAGTTTAAAATGTGCAGGATGTTCAATGACCAGCTTGGATAGCAAACTGCTTATTCCCTTTGATTAGCTTGGGCTTTCGGTAAGAGAACAGAACTCAACGAGAAGGATATTTTCTTTGGCCCATCCTGGGTCATCTCATGACACATATACACATTAATATTCCAAACTGCTAACTTTTAAACCAGATATAGCCTCAAGAAGCTCATGTACGGTTTTCTTTGATAGTTTTGATGTCAAATTTCTATAAAGTAGACATCAGTCCTTTGTAATTCAATATGGAGAGCTAGAAACACAACCGTCACGCTGTGAGTTGTGGCTGGGAATATGCACTGAGACTAATGTGGTCAAGGGCGGAAGTGGGAGCTGGCGAGGTGTAGAAAGCACCCGGCTGGACCAGGCCTAATGCTAGCTCACCAGCAAGCACACTGGGCTAACAGGCAACTTCTGCCCTAGCCTTGATTTTCACATGCATGGATATGAGTACAGTAAGGGGAAATCTGAAGCTTCCTTTGAGTTCTGAACTTTGTTTTTGTTTGGGGGGAGTGGAGGCGTGATAAAAACCTACATGTCAATCTCCTGCAGTGGTCGGCAAACTCAATAGTCAACAGAGCAGCATACTGCGGCTCATGAGCCGCAGTTGCCGACCACTATCCTAGTGAATTGTTGACTTTATGGGAAAACTTCTGTTTTCTTAGTGAAATTATCCCACGGACAGAGGTCAATTGCAACTAACTATTTAGTGTGGGAGTGGGGGACACATAAAGAGACACAGCCTCCTAAGGAGATGAGGTGTATTGTTCCCAGCTTGCTTTAATTACCGTAGGACTTGTGGATTCTGAAGTTGAGTCTTATTTTCTGTGCGCTATCTCACAGTTAACTTCAATTCTGTCCTTTTCTTATTAGTGGTTTTATTATACATTGAGTGGCTAGTTTATTATGATCTGTGATCTCTGAATGCATAATAATCTGGCCATAACAATCCCTGCCCCTCATTACAAAACTGACCCCCAAGTTGGATCAGAGTAAGAAATCTTTCTCAATTACTTTTTAGGGATAAAGACAAAGATAATGAACCAAAATATGCAAATCTGAGGAGAGTCCCCTGATCATAGTTCTCTCTCTCAAATAAGGAGAGGTTTACTACTAAGGAGAAGAAAAAAAGATGTTTTCAACATAAAGCTAAGTGAGTGGCAAACTGCTGCATAATTCTCTTTTTATGACACAATGGAAAAACCAGCTGCATCAGGCTGCTCTTGGAAAGAGAACTCGTTGCCTTGGAAAAAAGTCACCCAACTTCTACTGGTGGCAGAGTCAGGAACCAGAGCACTTGTTTATGTTTCGGTGCTTTTTATAGCTGGCATGCCCGCCTGCTCCGTGTTCCAAGTCTACCCAACAATCCGAGGTCACTTATGCATCTGTTGCTTCCACAGCAGCCTCACTCTAACCTCTATGGTGCTGCACTGTATTTATCAAAGATGAAGAACGTGAGCCACTGTATATACAGCTGGAGAAAAACTAGAAAATGGGCATTATTTTCTTCTTGCTGAGGCAAGGAGATTTTTCAAAATAAGAAATCTCTGTTCTGCTTTTTTGTGGTTATGAAAGCTCCACAGAGCCGAAACCGGTTTGGCTCAGTGGTAGAGCGTCGGTCTGCGGACTGAAGGGTCCCGGGTTCGATTCTGGTCGGGGGCATGTACATTGGTTGCGGGCACATCCCTGGTAGGGGGTGTGCAAGAGGCAGCTGGCAGATGTTTCTCTCTCATCAACATTTCTAGCTCTCTATCTCTCTCCCTTCCTCTCTGTAAAAATCAATAAAATATATTTTTTTAAAAAATGAAAGCTCCACAGAGTTCTCTCCTTGGGGGTCTCACACAGGAATTACTCTCTCTAGAAGCTACACAGCTGCACACTAGAGAAAGGACAGGCAAAGAGCTGCATGGCAGGGCAGGGTTGTGAACAGTCCAAATGTGGCTGCCAGATGAAACCTGGGTTCAAGTCCAACTTTTGGCTATGGTGAAGGCTTAAAAGATGCTCAATGTAAGTGTGTGTATATCCATGCACACACACCACACACTCATGAACATTTATCGAGCACTTTATACATCATAAAGGGCACAATACTGGTCCCCTTAACATGATCTCTTTTAATCTCTACAATGAATATTTCAATTAAAGGTTCCCCTTCCTTTCCTTCTATAATAGTTCAGAGAATCCCTTCATGTACTTTCCCCCCCATCAGGTATAAATATGACTTGAAACATAATAGACTACTTTTGTCCTCAAGTTGTTTCAAACCAGTTTTATTTAAAGTATGTCCCTTCCCTATCCTTTTCCCCCCGACCTGTTTTTATTTTAAAATATTTCAATCCTAGAAAAAAATAATGCAAAATCACTTGCACACTAGACTCATCAATTTTGAACTGTTTGCCAACATAAGTAAATGAATCTGATATATGAATATATATAGGTATTATTATTTTTATTTTTTGTAGGAACATTTTAAAATTATAGACAATAAGCATTCAATCATCCCTGTATATTTTAGCATGTAAGAACAAAAACAGTCCCACAAAACAACACCATTTTCATACCCAAAAAATTAAACCTCTACACAATATTATTTTGTACTTAATCCACATTCAAACTTGACCAAATGTCTCAATAATATCATTTATCACTGTTCCTCCCCCCCGCATCCATAGCGGCCGGTGTGTCTCTCTGAGTACTCACTCTCTCAATGAGGCAGGCAGACAGAAGGGTTAGGGGAAATCAGGCAGGCAAGTGAGTAGTTAGGGGCAATGAGGTAGGCAGGCAGAGTGATTAAGGACAATTAGTCAGGCAGACAGGTCAGTGGTTAGGAGCCAGCGGTCCCGGATTGCAGAAGTCAATAAAATATATTAAAAAAAGAAAAAGAAAAAAGAAAAGATGCACTTGCTGTAGAAATTGACGCCTATGTATACTAACATGATGAAAACATCTTTTATACAAAAACTTATATATATTAATAAATTTGATGTAACTTCATCAAAGAATTGCTGTTATACTCTGCTGCTACAGAGAAATAGATTCATCCTAGAGGACTAGAAATTTTATTTCTAAAATTGCATTCTACCTGTAGTTTAAGAACAGTGATCTTGGAAGTCATCAATTCACACTCAAATACAAAATATAGTCATTTTATATATAACAGGCATACTGGACATGAAGCTCAAATAACTTCTATAGAATTGTTATTTTAAGGAGTTCTCACTCAAAGCTACTTCCCTTGGGATTAGCACCTCAGTCAATAATAACAAACAATGCTCCAAGTAAGATAATGCTTTTACTTGTTTTAACAAGCATCAGTCTTGCCGAAACTGGTTTGGCTCAGTGGATAGAGCGTTGGCCTGCCGACTGAAAGGTCCCAGGTTCAATTTCGGTCAAGGGCATGTACTTTGGTTTTGGGCACATCCCCAGTGGGGGGTGTGCAGGAGGCAGCTGATTGATGATTCTCTCTCATCAATGTTTCTAGCTCTCTATCCCTCTTCCTTCCTCTCTGTAAAAATCAATAAAATATATATTTTAAAAAAAACTAGCATCCATCTTCGATGTACATACCAACAGTGTGAATAGGTTTCCGATAGGGCACAAGGCCAAAACTGTACTGAAAAATTCCTCTGGCATGGAACAGTGGCAAAGCAAACCCCATAATCTTCTGTAGTTTATCCTGCACAGTCCGAAGCAATGAGCCTTCAGGGTTGCTAACTTGTTTAAATAGTTCATTTTCACCAAAAGAAAACACAGGGACCAAATAGGCGCTGCAAATAAAAAAAATAAAAATAACAAAAAAAGGAAAGAATAAGAAGTTTCAATGAAAAGGATGCAAAGATGTGATAATTTCCAACTGATCTCTAACAGTTATTTAAGGTCCCCAAGTCAACCTATGCTACTAACTTCATGTTCCATACATTGACACTGACTTACAGTTGCAATTCTTTGGGAGACACTTCAGCAGCCTAGTGATTATGGAAATTATTCTATAGAAAATCAAGGTTCCAGGAAGATTTTTCATCTATTGTTTTGGCCTTGTTTCCTTTGTTCATTTGGCTGGACATCTGGTATGTTTTTCTGTTTGCTTTGCTTTTAAAGGCATTTTAGTTGGTGGGTGCCATAGCTTTGAGCTACCTTTGTGGAAAGGTCGATTAGAAGGAGGACTGTCTTTAAGGGCTACAAAAATTACTTCGCTTCCTCATGCTCATTTAATAATGTCTTGCCTTCCCTGACCCAGTCACCCAAGATGAAAAGCCACTTACCCTTGGGTCAAAGCAATTTTCACAAATCCTTTCCGCCGGCGGATGAACAGAGTGAATTTCCCGGGATGGGCATCTAAGGATTCCTCTGCACCCCCAAGGACAATGACTGAAATGTTTCCACCTCCCTCCTTGCTCAGCACGTAGCACAGACTTTTCTTGGAAACTGAGACCGGCCCTTGGTGAATAAAACAAAAGGTGTGACTAATGATCCTTTTTAAAAATTGAAAACACATTAATCACAATATTCTACGGCATCAGTGCACATCTAACAAGATTTCCAGTACGGCTTACATTTGGACACTTTGTCTACCTCAACAGCTCAGAAACTCCTCAGTTTCCACGTTTCCAAACCCAATGAATTCAATCACTCATCAGAGTTGTTCCTTGCCCAACGTTACCTATCCAGGTGAATGGAACATCATCTATCTAAGTCACTCAAGTCAGAAACCAAGTCCCATATGTAGTCCCCTCTTCTTGGCCACCATCTTGACCATATTCGTTCATTCAAAAGCATTTCCTGAGCACCTGCTACAAGCAAGACACCCTGCTAGATGCTGATTATAGGGTGACAATATTACTACAGGCTGGCTGCCTTCATTAAGTATTGCTGACTCTATCAACTACTTTTCATAGTAACCCCCCTCTTCTGTATTTTCACTGCCGCGATCACTGTGCTGGCTGAGCCCTCATCACCTCTCCCTGATCACTCCAACAGGCCCCTTCTATCATCACAGTCTCCAGGCTCACCTCCCTCTAATGCATCTCCTCTCTGAATGATCTTTCTAACATGCACAATCCAGTCAGGTCCCTCTTTTGCTCAAAACCCCTCCCAAGTTCACAGGGCTTACCTACAAAATAAAGTCTAAAGTCCTCCTCATGGCATATAAGCCTTTTGTGATCTGCCCTCCACTGCCTGCCCAGCCTTAGTAGGAGCCTTGAAACACAGAGTGTGCTCTGGCTGACAGCGGCTGGGTGCCCATTCAGCAAAATGAGCCAAAAGGAAGCGTTTGGAGGCAGTATGGTGATTACTAGAGGGAAAGGGGGTGGGGGAGGTAGGACTGACAAGGACTGAAGCCACAGAAATCCCAGGAGTAAGAGCAAAACAAGTATCAGACAGCAAAGGATCCCTAAAACCCTATTGGTTCTTCACTACCTGAGGTCTGGTGCATACGTCTGTCTTTCGCACCCAGAGCAGGAGCTATTGAGGCAGGCACAGAGCCTCGGACCCAGGCCTGTCCTGGGAAACAGGTTCTGGCAGGGATTGACTCTAACTTTGCATCTCCACTGGCTACAAGTTTGCATATTTTTATTTTAGTGTTTAAATTTTTTAATTAAATTTATTGTGGTGGCATTGGTTAATAAAATCATATATGTTTTAAATGCACAATTCTGTAATGCATCATCTGTATATTATATTGTACATTCACCACCCAAAGTCAAGACTCCTTCCCTCTGGTAATCACCAGACTGTTGTCTTTTTTATTTTTATTTTTTCTTAATCCCTTCTTCATCTTTTCACCCAGAACCTGACAGCTGTTAGTCTGTTTTCTGTATCTATGAGTCTGTTTCTATTTTGTTTGCTAGCTTATTTTTGTCATTAGATTCCACACATAAGTGAAATCATATGGTACTTGTCTTTCTCTGACTGGCCTATTTCACTTAGCATAATGCTCTCCAGGTCCATCCACACTGTCCCAAAAATAAGACTTCCTTCTTTTTTTATTTTTATTTATTTATTTATTTATTTATTTACTTACTTACTTATTTATTTTTTACAGCTGAGTAGTATTCCAGTGTGCAAATGTACCATTTATTTTGTTTTGGAATATCTTGGGTCAGTGGTCAGCAAACTCATTAGTCAACAGGGCCAAATATCAACAATACAATAATTGAAATTTCTTTTGAGAGCCAAATTTTTTTAACTTAAACTTCTTTTAACGCCACTTCTTCAAAACAGACTCGCCCAGGCCGTGGTATTTTGTGGAAGAGCCACATTCAAGGGGCCAAAGAGCCGCATGTGGGTTGCGAGCCGCAGATTGCTGACCACGATCTTAGGTTATAGCAAAGGAAAAGGTCTCATGGTGTCATAAGCCAGTGATAGACACGTCTCATCTCAGATGCCAACTCCAGTAAATGGCACTGGCTGTGGGGCCTGACATGCAACAGACAGGGTGCACCTGCATCTGTTGTGCCATGAATTTGCCACACCAGCTCTCAATTACGCTATTCAAACTCACCTATGGTTATACTTTGAATCAGCAGCTATTTACTGTAAATATCTTTCTGTGCTTTTTTTTTTTTTGAAATTTTTAAAGCTTCCCTTTAATTTTTTTTATGAAACTCTAATTTGTTAGTTTATTTTGTTTATTAGATTCCACACATGAGTAAAATCATATGGTACTTCTCTTTCTCTGACTGGCTTATTTCACTTAGCATAATACTCTCCAGGTCCAACCTGCTATCCCAAATGGAAATTAACAAACAAAACAGAAACAGACTCATAGATAGAGAATAGACTGACAACTGTCAAAAGGGAGGAGACAGGGGCAAGGGAGGGAGGGTGTAGATCGGGTGAAAAGGGTGAAGGGATTAAAGTGGGGGGGAACCCTCCTAGACACAGACAATATTATGGTGATTACTAGAGGGAAAGGGGATGGGGGAGGTAGGAGAAAGTAAAGGGGGGATAAATGGTGATGGAAGGAGACTTGACTTGGGTGGTAAACACTTAATACATTATGCAAATGATGTATTATAGAATTGTACACCTGAAACATATGACTTCATTAACTGTCACCCTAATAAATTCAATAAAAAGAAAAAAAATTCCAAGCCGATGTCTGCACAACTCTGAAAAGAAGGGATACCGGTATTTTTCCTCTATAGTATTTTGGGGGTTTTAGTGCACCCCCTAGAGGCCACAGGCAGTGGCAATCTATACTGGACAGAGAGCCCAGGGCCATATGGGTGAAGGTCCATAAACAGAACCTAAAAATCCAGCCATTGATCCTGGTTCTTCAGTGCTGAGTGACTCCTACCCCGTATTTATGACAACAGAGAATTGATAGATTAATAGGAAGTAATGAAAACCTGGAAGACCATGGAAAATTCTATCTCTGAATATGCCACTTATTGATCCTGAAATTGAAATAAAAAAAAAAAGACTATTCACTTTCCTTTATATCCAAGAAATGCAAAGACAATAATAATTAACCTATACAATGACCATAAACAGGAAGCACTTGCTCAGTTACTATAGCTTATGGTTAGTTAATAATTTGGTCAAATTGGAAAACCAAACAAAATGAGCCTCTTCAGTTGAGGCAAGAGCTATTGTACACATATTATTCTCATAATTTATTCTCATAATTGGTATTATGAGGCAAGAGCTATTGTACACATTTATATCGTATCTTGATAGCATTTCAGATTTATTCTCATAATCTCATATTCACTAATCAAAAAATCTTCCACTAGTAAGGCATTCCTATTTCTGACCCATTATATTTAACCTGAGAAGGAAAAGATAGCAGATTATGTTTAGTTTAGAGGACATTTTTCATCTCTAATATCCATAAAAGTATCTCAGGCACTTTTCCAACGCTGCCACTTACCACTTATTTGATTCTCTCTATCACATCTGGGATCATAAAATAGACTCATCAATTTATTCTTTCATTAAATTCACATCTATTGAACATCCCTAAATTCCAGGCAGTATGCTAGATCTGTGGGTGGACAGAGAAAAGGACAGTCTTTGCTGTGCTGGCATTTATAGTGCTGTGAGAGAGTCAAGAAATAACCAAAAAGTGCCAGATTGGGATAAAGACTCTAAAACTGGGTTGGGCAGGGGGAGGGAGGGGCATTCTGTGTAATCCTGTCTTCCTAGAACATTGCAGAAACAGCAATCTGCCTTTACTTACCACTGCTCATCAGGTATTCTCGGAAGAGAGGGCACCGGAACCAAATCGGAAGCACGTGGAGATATGCAGTAAAGTCTGGGTAGAGCTTCTTGAAGTCCGAATAATTTGTACAAAAATTTCCAAAGGCTCCAGCCACGAGCACTCCATGGGGGTGAAACCCAAATATGTAGTTGTGACTTGGATCCAAATCACTAGTTTTGATGAGCTACAACACATTTACATTGAGATTAAAAAAAAAAAAAGTTCCCTGACTAGTTTCCAGGAAGAAACTAAATGACTAACAATTATGTCAAGAGGATATGAGCCATGGCTAGTTGCTCAGTGGTTAGAGCATCTTCCTGTGGACTGAAGGTCCAGGTTTGATTCGCAATCAAGGGCAGGTAGCTGGGTTGTGGTTTGATCCATGCAACCAATGCATTTATCTCACATCGATGTTGCTTTCTCTCTCTTTTCCTCCCCCTCCACCCAAGGATGGAATAAAATATCCTTGGTTGAGGATTTTTTTTAAAAAGAAGTGAAAAAAAATGTTAAAAAGGAAATGGAGAATATGACCTGTTTTCATTCCCTGGGTTATAACTGCTCCCCAAATTCTTAACTATTTCCTGAGCTCAGTGCCCCTCACAACAGCCTAAGTTTTAACTTAGCTTATAGTCTACTTAGTAACTTGGGCTGATTTGTAGGCTTTCTCCCTCTAAAAGAGGAAAAACTTAATATATATGTAATAGCCCTACCTGGTTTGGTTCAGTGGATAGAGCATCAGCCTGCAGACTGAAGGGTCCCAGGTTCAATTCTGATCAAGGGCACATGCCCGGGTTGTGGGCTCGATCCCCAGTGGGGAGCGGGCAGGAGGCACCCAATCAATGGCTCTCTCTCATCACTGATGTTTCTATCTCTCTCTCCCTCTCCCTTCCTCTCTGAAATCAATAAAAATATATTAAAAAAGAGAAATATATATAATAAAATTTTTTTCATTCTTCTTCAAGCTCAAAATCATACTACTATATAAAACAAGTCTACTCACATGAATTGGAAAGTAGTCATTAAAGTGCTTCCAAACGGCCCAGCTTCTGACCCAGTTGGATCGCCTGCCTCCTTGCTCTGGAGTACGCCAGTCAAAGTAGAGCCATGTCAAGTAAGGGATGTACAGGAACCAGTAGTTGTATAAGATCAGGAGCAAGAGGATTCCAATGCACACCTCCGCTGTAAGAAAGGGAAGCCCTCAGGAATTAGGGTTAGCATCTGCTCCCTCTTGTCCAATCACTGGCCTATGGAGGGAGATTTAATACATGCAAAGGGTGTTAAACTGAGCCTCAGTTCAAGTGGGTAATAAAACAAGATGACAATGACATAGTATTGGATATTTACTATATACCAAGTATTGTATTGTGTATTAAGCCAAAATATTTCCACTTAATCTTCATAGATCCATGGTATCATTGAAGCAGCCATAGAATTCTTTTTTTAAAATAAATCTTTATTGTTCAGATTATTACAATTGTTCCTCTTCTTTCCCCCTCCCCCCTCCTCCCCGCTTATCTCCTCCACCTGTTTTCCATCCCACCCTCTGTCCTTAACCTCCTCTGCAACTGTCCTCATCCATAGGTGTATGATTTTTGTCCAGTCTCTTTCCGTATCCCCAACACCCCTTCCCCCCCGATTATTGTCAGTCCACTCCCTTTCTATGCCCTGATTCTATTATATTCACCAGTTTATTCTGTTCATCAGATTTTTTATTCATTTGATTTTTAGATTCATTTGTTGATAACTATGTATTTGTTGTTGTTCATCATTTTTATCTTTACCTTTTTCTTCATCTTTCTCTTCTTAAAGAATACCTTTCAGCATTTCATATAATACTGGTTTGGCGGTGATGAACTCCTTTAGCTTTTTCTTACCTGTGAAGCTCTTTATCTGACCTTCAATTCTGAATGATAGTTTTGCTAGGTAATCTTAGTTGTAGGTTCTTTCTATTCATCACTTTGAATATTTCTTGCCACTCCCATCTGGCCTGCATAGTTTCTGTAGAGAAATCAGCTGACAATTGTATGGGTGCTCCCTTGTAGGTAACTACTGTTTTTCTCTTGCTGCTTTAATATTCTCCCTTTGTCTTTTGCTCTTAGCATTTTAATTATGATGTGTCTTGGTGTGGTCATCTTTAGATCCTTTTGTTTGGGGTTCTGTGCACTTCTTGGATTTGTAAATCTATTTCTTTCACCAGGTGGGGGAAGTTTTCTGTCATTATTTCTTCAAATAGGTTTTCAGTATCTTGCTCTCTTTCTTCTTCTGGATGATTTTGATGTTGGTACGCTTGAAGTTGTCCAAGGGGCTCCTTACACTATCTTCATATTTTTGGATTCTTTTTTAGTTTTGCTTTTCCGGTTGGGTGTTTTTTGCTTCTTTGTATTGCAAATCTTTAACTTGATTCTTTTCATCCTCTAGTCTGCTGTTGGATCTCTGTATATTATTTTTTATTTCAGTCACTGTATGCTTAATTTCTAGATGGTCCTTTTTCATATCCTCAAGAGTCTCATTAAATTTATCATCCTTTTATAGAAAATTCTTGAAAAATTTTATAACCATGGTTTTGAACTCTATATCCAGTCATTTTCTTTCCTCCATTTCTGTCATTTGTGACCTGTTTCTTTGTCTCCACATTTTGGCTGCTTCCCCAAATTGATAGAGTGGTTTTTTGTGCTAGGTGTTTTATAGGGCCCAGTGGCTCAGACTCCCAGTTACCTGAGGTGAACACTCTTGGTGCACCCCTTTGTGGGCTGTGTACACAATTTTGTTTTAGTTAAGCCTTGATTGTTGTTGGTATCACTGGGAGGAATTGACCTCCAGGCCAATTGGCTGTGAGTATCAGCTATGTCTACACTGAGAGAACTTTTGTGCTGGAGACAGCCTTATGAGACAAAACTTGCAAAAGTCTCTATGCTCAGCTTGGATGGGGTGGAGTCTCAGGGCGGAGCATTCAGCAATGGCTTCCCATCAGCCCTGCCCTAAGGACCCCCTGAGTCTCAGTGTCCCACGGTAATCACTGTCCCAAGTGATTACAATCCGTGTCACAAGCACCTCTGAGAGAAAGCCGCCCTCAAGTTTCTTTCTTTAAAAAAAAAAAAAAAAAATATATATATATATATATATATATATATATATATATATATATATATTGATTTTTTACAGAGAGGAAGAGAGAGGGATAGAGAGTCAGAAACATCAATGAGAGAGAATCATCTATCAGCTGCCTCTTACACACCCCTTTCAGTCGCAGGCCGATGCTCTATCCACTGAGTCAAACCGGTTTCGGCCGCCCTCAAGTTTCGCCTGCTGCCCGACAGTCCAGTTTCTCCTCGAATGAGTCTGGGTCCCCAGAGTCTCACCTAGAACTGGAGTTCAGAGCAGTCAGGAGCTTTTGTCTCCCTCCCGATTGAGAGAGCCAGCCGTGTACTAGTTGCCAGCCCTCTCCGCGCGTGCGTCTCTATCCCTCTACCTTTTGCAGCTCCTCTGAGTCTCAGTGTGCTTTTCTCTTTCCTTCTAGTTGTAGAATTTCCACTCTGCCAGCCTTCCTGTGGTCCTGGATTATGTCTGTTTTGTCTTTTAGTTGTAGTTTTGAAATTGTTGTGTGAGGCAGCAGTTTAGATGTTTACCTATGCTGCCATCTTGGTTTCTCCCACAGCCATAGTATTCTTAATGTTCATTCCATAGAAGAGATGATGGGGCTTAGAGAGGTTCAGTGAATTGCCCAAGCCACATATTATATATAAGTGGTTGATCTGCCTAAATTCAAAGTTCCCATTGGCATGAGATGAGGCAGGGGGCGGGTGGGGAGATAGGAGGAAAGGAGGAAGGATTGTCACTCATAGGAGTGATGCAGAGGGATACAACAGGTGTTCACCTTGACCGAGCAACCATTACTCATGTGCACATACAGGGGCACATTCTAGTGACAAACTTCATTTTCAGGAACTCTATTGCCAGAGATAGAAATAGTATAGGAGGGACTCTTTCTATCATAGTTCCTCTATTGCTATTTGTAATATTTCACAATGACAGAGCAAAATCCAAGTTGTTCATGCACCTAATGATACAAAAACTGACCAGTCTTGGCTTGGGTAATTAGTAACAAGTATGTATGCCTGCAGAAACCGGTTTGGCTTAGTGGATAGAGCATTGGCCTGCGGACTGAAAGGTCCCGGGTTCAATTCCGGTCAAGGGCATGTACCTTGGTTGCAGGCACATCCCCAGTAGGGGGTGTGCAAGAGGCAACTGATCGATGATTCTCTCTCATCAATGTTTCTAACTGTCTATCCCTCTCTTTTCCTCTCTGTAAAAAATCAATAAAATATATATTTTTAAAAAAGAATGTACGCCTTAAAGTAATATATTAAGCTAAGCTAAAGATTTCCTTCTTATGTCTATGCAACATGTTACATTGAAAAATGTTTCTAAAAAGATAAATATATCAACGAGAGGGGAGGGAGCATAAAGACATAAGGTTTGGTGCATAATAAGTGCTCAATACATGCCAGCTGCTACTATTAAAGGAGTGCCATTGCCTCTTTCTCTGCTATTATGTGCTGCAGTCACTAATTCAGTGCTGACTTTAGTGCCCAAAACTCCTTTCCACTATCAGCTTTGTTAAAAATAACTTTGTCCCTTCACTTCCGTTCAGGGCACATGCCCGGATTGTGTGCTCAGTCCCCAGTACGGGTGGTGCAGGAGGCAGACAATTCTACTTTTTTATTTACTTCCATAGGGTAGTAAGTCAAATACTGGAGCACTAAGCAGAACATCTTTGTCGCCTGATACACTTTATCAATAATATTTTACTATCTAAAGGAGGTGCTCTCATTTAAACTCCCACTCCACACATTGCACACATTCTTTTCTATTTCATATCGTATTAAAAAAGATTTTTAAATCCCTTAATCCTAAATTGGATCGAAATCAGAAAACCCTACAAAAACTAGGTGAAGGGATCACCTCTATTTTTATCTCATCAAGCAATCCAACGTAACATGATTCTTCTAAATTGGAGGTCAAAGAGACAAGAGAGATGTGAAGTGTATTCTAATATATTATACAGTTCTCAAAGCTGATGCTGATACCTGCTAGGATTATCTAGATTCACAAACCAAGCTACATCGAAGGCCTGAATTTCAGCTGCCTTGACTTAGGTACATCCTGGATGAAAAGCCACGGTCAGTCTCTATCTCTTACACTCCCATAGACTTGGTTTTCTCCCCACTATTGAGGAACCTGCCTCCTCCAATTTTCATTGAGGTAAAATTCATATAACATCATTCCAAAATCAACCTTGTATCATTAAGCAGTAACTCCTTATTTTCCTCTCCCCTGACCCCAACAACCAACAATCTGCATTCTATACCTATGGATTTACTGCTCCCATACATTTTATATATTGTAAATTGTATGACCCAATACATAGCCTTTTGAAGACATCAAAAGTTTGTTTGTTTGTTTGTTTGTTTGTTTGTTACTTTAAAGCAAGCATGTGAAACTCACAGCCAGCAAAGGCATGCGGCTCACTGGCCATGAATTTGACATGCTTGCTTTAGAGGAAGAGAGAGAGGGAGGGGAAGAGAGAGAGGGAGGGGAAGAGAGAGAGGGAGGGGAAGAGAGAGAGAGAAAAAGAGAGAGAGAGAGAGAGAGAGAGAGAGAGAGAGAGAGAGAGAGAGAGAGATTGAGAGAGAGAGAGAGAGAGAAAGAGAAATATTGATTGGCCTTCTGCACACACCCCAAATGGGGATTGAATCCACAACCTGAGTATGTATCCTGACTGGGAATTGAATCCTCCACCTTTTGGTTCACAGGCTGAAGCTCCAACCAACTGCGCCAAAGCTAGACATCAAGTTTTTGAGGTTCATCCATGTTGTAGCATATGCCAGTACTTTATTCCTTTTTAAGGTTGAAGAATATTCCCCTGTATGGATATATTGCAATTTATCCATTCTTCTGTGGGTGCACATTTGGGCTGTTTCTGCCTTTTGGCTACTGTGAATAGTGCTGCCGTGCCCCACCCACTTGAATAGCATATACATAATCATTACATTTGTATTGCTGATGAGCAATACAGTCACAAAATAATGCAAGCCTCTTAATATGACTCAATGGAAAATATACCCATCACCTTGCTGGTCTTCTTACCCAAAATGTTTACTCCGACTCTAATCATGAGA